AATATAGTTGTTATATAAAGAGCAGAACTGGAAACATTCAGCTTTGAATGTGGAATCAGTATTGTGACTCTGCCCGTACTAGGTTTCTTTCTTTCTTTTTTTTGAGACAGAGTCTCACTATGTCGCCCTCTGTAGAGTGCTGTTACATCACAGTTCACAGCAACCTCAAACTCTTGAGCTTGAGCAATTCTCTTTCCTCAGCCTCCTGAGTAGCTGGGACCACAGCCACCCACCACAACATCTGGCTATTTTTACAGGCGAGGTCTCACTCTGTCTCAGGCTGGTCTTGAACCTGTGAACTCAGGTAATATACCCCCCCTCAGCCTCCCAAAGTGCTGGGATTACAGGTCTGAGCCACCACACCCAGCCTCTCACATCCTTAGATGTTTTCATTCCCCATCCATTCACACGGCTGGTCAGCCAGTATTAAGATCTTCTGTGTGCACCATTCTAGGTGCTATGGAAGATGTAAACATCACATTCCATGGCATACCCCTCCGATTTTTGTATCATCTAGCTGGGAGAAAAGTAGTAAGAGAAAAGTTAAAAATTAAACAAGTAAATACAGTCTCATCTCCGAATCTCTGAGACTGATCCCAGCTGTTTCTGAAGCTCGGCTAAGCACAGTGGTGTGTGAACCACCAAAGACAACAGTATGGATTGGTGAAGAGTGGAAAATGTGAGGAGCTGAACCACAGGCAGCAGAAGGAGGGAGAAAGGAAAGAAGTGGCAGACAGTTCCCTCCGAGAAACATCTTTCTCTGCATTCTGCATTCTGGAGTTCAAGTGCCATCTCTTAAGCACGAAGAAACTTTCATATTCATAAATGCAGAAAGAAAGAATGAGAGAGAGAAAGGAAAGGAAGGAGAAAGAAAAAAAGACTTTAATGAAAAACACTAAAAACAATTGGGTGTTTGCCAGTATAACTCTTAAAAGCTTTATAAGGAATACATTTAAATAATTCTTTTTAACTTTCAGAGAAAAAATGATCCTTATGCTCTTGCATCCCTGGTGTCCTTTGAGGTTAAGAAGATGCCTTATAAAAGTCAGCCAGCAAAACTCCCAGAAGGAAGCATCGCGGTGAGTATCCTTAAATATATATATATAGTCACGAATAATTTAATCGAAATGATTTTTTAAAAAATCACTGTCCAAGGGAAGGGCGAGGAAAGGAAGGGCAGAGAGAGGGAAGGACGGAGCAGAGTGGGGTCTCCGTGTATGCTACACCTTTGAGGGGCAAGACATGATTGTAAGAGGGGCTTTACCTAACAAATGCAATCAGGGTAACCTGGTTTCTTGTACCCTCAATGAATCCCCAACAATAATAAAAAAGAAAGACAAAATAAAAAAAAAATCACTGTCCAGCTTGTGCTAGGTTTAAGCATTCACATTGACCTAAGAAAAATTTCCCTCTACAGCTCACTGTTTTCTTAGCTTATTAGCCTGAAAATGTCCTAGTTTTACTTTGGTCTGGTTTTTAAACTTCCAGTATAAATGTCTATCCAAGAAATTACAGGGTGGGACTAAATATCATTTTTAATGAAGACATCTCAGAAAAATGTAGACAGAAAGCAATTATTGTTATAACAAAATCATTCTGATTCTTTAATTTTAAACACAGCATGATGAGTCAGGTGGGAAGGGAGGACACGCTTGCTTAAGGAGAGTTGGTCACGGCCCAGCTGCATGACTTTCGACAGTCATTTTTAATTTCTAAGCGAACAATCTTAACTATGATCTGGGCAGGAAGGAAGGATATATTCTGAGTTTCAGTTGAATGAAATGTCGTTTTTAAAATTAAAAATTAAATATTTCTGACAGCCAAATATCTGTCACAGAGCAACTTCTAACATCCTCAGCGACCTGGCAAGGCCATGTGGAGAGGAGGGAAGAACGGATAGGGGGTTCAGCAGTCACAGTTTGCAAAACTCTGCCTTTTAGGTCATCTGTGAAGGTGGGCAGAAACTTCTGAACAACAGAGTGCTCTGAAAAGAAACACTTTTAAAGACTTCAGCTTATATCTCTTGGTTACTCAGAGGGTATTTACAACCTCCAACTTGAATTCTTGGTCCCCTGCTCCTTGTTATGCAAAGTGTGGTTGTGACCAGTGCCGGTATCACCTGGGACCTACTAGAAATACAGAACCAGGCCTCACTCCAGACCTGGGAGAGTTTGAGAAGCATTGCTGCGTTAGCTGGTAGATGAGGTCATACTATTTCATCCCTTTCTAGACTCAATCTTAAAACCTAATTGTAACATTTAGTAGTTCTAGTCTATTCTACTTGTAGTAATTTATATTAATCCAGTGATTCATGATTCCCTGTGTGTGTGGGAACCATCACTCTTGCAACTTTAAAAACATATACATGCTGAAACATCAGTCCAGATGCCAGGATTAAATAGGTCTGGGGTGAGACCCTAGTGCTGAGCTTTGAAAGTTCTACCAGTAACAGTGCCGCAGGGGAGGCAGGGTTGAGAACATCTCGCACAAGTAGGCGGCCGAGAGCTGTGATCCTCGGTTCCAGGCCATGGACGGTGCTGCTGGCCCATGGCCTGTTAAGACCAGGCCACACAGCAGGAAGTGAGCAGCCGGCAAGTGAGTGAAGCGTCGTCCATATTTACAGCCGCTCCCCATCACACGCATCACTGCCTGAGCTCTGCCTCCTGCCAGATCAGCAGTGGCATTGATTCTCATAGGACCGTGAACCCTGCAGGAAACTGTACATGCAAGGAATTTAGGTTGTGCACTCCTTGTAAAAGTGTAACATTGTAATAATAGAAACAGTGTACAGTAAATGTAATATAAACAGTGCATTTGAATCATCCCCAAACCATTCTCTCTCTGCCCCACCCTGTCCATAGAAAAATTGTCTTCTGTGAACCCTGTCTCTGGTGCCAAAAAGGCTAGGGACCACTGGCCTAGAGGAAATCCAAGATTTCCATGATGCAGTTCACCTGAGGTTGATCCTGGATCCACCTTGCTCTAGTTAGGAAACCTTCGGGAAGTCACGTTACTTCTCCAAGGCTGTGGACCACATCCGCCTGAAGGGATTGTTAAGATGTTAAGAGGGTGATGTGTACAAAGCATCTAGCATTGTACCTAGCTCAAGTAAGTCTCAAGGTTAGTAACCTCCCTGAAATATGTCACCTTCTCTGGCCGTGTACAGAGACTTGGAACTGATAATTATGAGTCACACAGTCAAATTATTTCAGTAAACTTTGGTGATATTTCAAAGCAAGCACTGCCCTATCTCTCCATTTAGACCACCCCTCTCTGTCTCCAGAGATGTCTGCTGTAGGTTGGATTTATGGCCAACCTAGGAAACACAGGCTTTGGATTTTTAATATAGAGAGTTCATCCAAAGAGGTTCAAAGGCTTGTATCTCTAAGAGAAATAAATCTGGGCCCTTTTGTTTTCTCTAAGCATGTGTTCCCTGACAAAAACACATGTTCTGGTCTGTTCCATCAAGGGTACCATGTCTTTCTGTGCTGGCCACAGGTGACAGCCTGCTGTTCTCAACTCATCTCAAACAATTCCCAGAATGATCAGATACGTGCGTCTCCCAGCCCTGCCACCCTCCTTACTGAATTGCCAGGGGGGAAAAGAAAAGACTTTTTATTTGACATAGATGATTTACTACACCAATTATGTACAGGTTATTGGAAAAACATTCAGGGATGGAGGTGCTTTCAAGTCTCCCAATATATTTCTTTTTATTAAATCTTAGCTGTGTACATCAGTGCAATCACGGGATACAATGTGCTAGTTTTTTACACAATTTGAAATATTTTCATCAAACTGGTTAACATAGCCTTCACAGCATTTTCTTAGTTATTGTGTTAAGACATTTATTTTCTACATTTAGTAAATTTCACACATACCCTCGTAAGATGCACGGTAGGTGTGGTTCCACCGATTACCTTCCTTCCACCCAACCTCCCTCCTCCTCTCCTCTCCGTCTCCCCTTTCCCCAAATTCTTGGGCTATAATTGGGTTATAGCTTTCATATGGCTCCCAATATTTAACTGTAAAAGATCCCGCCAGTACAAAATGACCATATTTTGCCAGGTATCATGCTCTCCTGTGTCCAAGGTGCACCCACGTGTTTGGCCCCAACTTTCAGAAAACAAATATTTTGTTTTCATTTTTTAATCCAATTTTTTATTTGTTTCTATGTGGGTACTTGTTTTTTGTCTTATAAAGGAACTTTTTAGCATTTGACATAGTAGGGTACAAGAAATTTTATGTGACAAATAATTACAAAACACAAGGGCAGATACAAGGGACAAGAAATGTTATGGACCAGTAACAAATAGCGCTACTGACGTGTAATGCACATTCTTATTTTATCCCCTCAAAAATTGGGGCAAAAAAGTGTACATCACACACAGCAGAAGACAGTAGCTTCATAGTGTAGGGAAAGGGTCCATGTGTGGCTTGCTTTGGGAGGAGAGCTCATTAGAGCTCTAATAGGCCCCTGGAGAAAGTCTCCCACTTCCTTCTTTACATTAAGACTGAATATTGTTTGCTTGTTTTCCGAGGCTTTTGTGTGGGATGATTAGTTTGTTTGTATGCCCCTGCCAACACGATCATAATTCAGCCCTTGCTTGAGGGCTGCTTTAACTTTCCACATGGACGGAAATAGCAGTCCCCATCTGCAACTTGCACAGCGTCTATCTGTAACAAACTCCTCGTCAAGGGCAAGGTTGCATGATTCAAAGAGAGGACTGAATGCTGAGTCCCTCAAGTGCAGTAAAAGGAAGTCAATTATTTGAATGCCTTCTTGGCTCACCAATGAACTTCGACATTTACCTGCCATGTACCTAACGCCCAGTTCTATAATCCAGGTCCATGAGAGAGTAATGTTCTCTATAATTTCCAAAGTGGTTATTATAAAACATTTTGTGAAAATCTCTGTTTAAAAACTCATACATAAACTGCAAACCCATCTGATTTTCAGAACTGTTAGCAAAACTTCAGCCTTTTAAAATGGAACTCAAACAACTACTGGGAGTTCTCACTTAGGATGGAAACTGTTTCTCATAGGGGCTGTTTAAATGTTAAAACGTGGGCTTTAGCTGGTCCGCTTTTTGTTATTATTTTGTTCTAAATGGCACTCTAGGTACGATGTCCTGCTGCATTTATTTAAAACATTCTTCTGACCCCAGTGAAGTATGTTTACACAAGATTTCTTGATACATAAATACAGATGTCAACATTAATTACGGTTGCAAAGACAAGGGAGCTTTTTCCTTCTACCTTGGTATTTTTTGTCAAAATATACAAGAACATATCATAAATGTCAATGATAAAATGTAGGCATATTACTGGTTTATTTATGGTCTTTCAACTGTAATGAAGAACAGCAAGATTTATGACATGATGAAGGTAAGATGAAATGTTCCCTACTTAGAATCACTTTAAGAAAATCTAAACCTCTTACAATTTATGGATCCTCCTTCCTAAAATTACAGATGCTTGTAATAAGCGAATTGTTAAAATTTTATGCAATGTTAAATAGTTACAAGCTCTGGATCATAAAAATGTGTCAACAGGCTCGGCTCCTATAGCTCAACCGGCTAAGGCGCCAGCCACGTACACCTAAGGTGGCCGGTTCGAATCCCCAGCCTGGACCCGCCAAACAACAATGACGGCTGCAACCAAAAAATAGCTGGGCGTTGTGGCGGGCGCCTGTGGTCCCAGCTACTTGGGAGGCGGAGGCAGGAGACTCGCTTGAGCCCAGGAGTTGGAGGTTGCTGTGAGCTGTAATGCCACGGCACTCTACCCAGGGGGACAGCTTGAGGCTCTGTCTCAAAAAAAAAAAAAAAAAAAAAAATGTGTCAACAAAGTCGGTTGATAGCCAGTTGAATTTTCCTCCTTTGATTTCCAGTACTTCAGTTACTTAATTTCTTTATTAAATTAAGCAGTAGAAATATCTAATCCAAAGCCCATCCTCCAAAAGTGAATCTAGTCCTATCTAGGCTCCTTCTTCTGACCTAAGTCAGGCATTCGTCTTTGATGAGAGAATCTTATAGGGAGCTAGCTGAGTAATTCGGCTAATTTCACCATTTGGTGATAT